TTACGTTTGTGTTTGTATCCCTTGTAGTTGTAGACAGTTTACGACACGTACGGTTAAAACTCTAGTGGTGGACATGCAACTAGCCTACATGCCTCCTCCTTTAGTTGCAGTCACGTTGTGCCCCTTGCAGTTGTGGGCGGGTTGTAACACATGGAATTACAACCATAGTGGTGGACATGCAACTGACTACCCCCTTCCCTTAGTTTCAGGCAGGACAACACATGCAGTTGCAACTGCAGTGGTGGACATGCAACTGGACAACATCCCTGCCCCTCTAGTTCCAGTCATGTTGTATTTCTTGCAGTTATAAACACGTTAGGACACATGCAGTTGCATGTTGTGTTATGGAATTCACTCAATTCAAGTTACACACAAGAAAGATGGTGCAAATAGATGAAAAAATAAAATAAATAAAAAGGGAAAAAGAATAATTTACCAAAATAAAAATGAATGTCAAGAAAAATATAACTAAAATATTTGAGAGAAAAGGCACAAAAACATGAATGGAAAAATAAGTAGGAAAATCAAAGACATACTAAAGAATAAAATGAATTTGAAATAAGAAAACAAAAAAATACAGCCAAACAAAAAACAGACAATAGAAAAGGCCCCATCCCCTGGCCAATCACCGCGCAAACCATGACCCTATAGAAAAAAAGACAAAAGGAGAGCACCTCAATCCCCCAATCGTTATATGCGGGCCGTTTACACAAAAACTTAACGGTGCACATCTTAAAGCAGAAAACAAATCATATGGTCAGGGAAAACCGATTAACTTAACCACGTGGAACATCCCATCCAATTTCCTGGTCCTTCTATTGCGATTTCCTATGATTCTCGATCTACCGCCAGAGGCTACAGCCGCTAGGCCTTGCCGCCACGGGTTGTGACGGCAAGTGACACATGTCGCTTGCCGGGTGCCGCCATGGTAGTTTTGTCAATTCCACTCAGAGATGGTTTTTTCTGTCATCACACTCATGCAGTGGTCCAAAATGTCAGACATTCGTTAAGGAACTTAAAAGACTGAGGTACCTAATTTCAGTAAAGTTTAGAGCTCTTTAAATTTGCTTTCTGAGGCACCTAATTAACTTCAGAATACAAGTATCTAATCTTCACCATCGTGATCGGTCTCCTCATTGTTCATTCACTACTCTCCTTTGTTCTTTCCTTTCACTAAATAAACCTCTCTCATATGAACACTTCAAAAAAAGATCTTATATGGAAGTAAGTCCCGTATACGAGAAAGAAAAAAGAATTTCCCACCCAAGCCAATGCCACCTTTATCTACACTTCGCCGAGAGCCCCAGCGCCGCCCCTGGGCGGCACCCCTCCTCCGCCGCTGCCGTCGACAGGTTGTGCAGCCTGGCGAAGACGGCGACCATGGGCGCCGTGTTGTATGTGCACGCCTCGGTCTGCACGTAGTTGGTGCGGTCGTCCCTGAACTCGTCGCGGCAGTTGGGCCCGCCAACGATGGCGCCGGTGAGCACGTTGGGGTTCGGCCGCTTGTGGGTGTACCAGTTGTCGAACCCCTGCATGCAGCCGATGAAACGGTTGTTCGCCTTGTGCGACACGATGGAGGCGGCGCGGTGGTGCACGTGTGCGGGGAAGCGGGGGCCGTACCCCACCATGTAGCTCAGCCGCAGCGGGTTGCGGCCCAGGATGTACTCGGCCTGCGAGCGCGCCAGGGCCAGGAGCTCGGACGGCGGGACCGCCGGCGCGTCGGGGCAGCGGAGGCGGGCGCCGGCGCCGGCGAGGTAGCGCGAGTAGACGGTGAGGAGGAAGGCGGCGCTGGAGGCGTACTGGAGGTTGTTCCACTGGCGGACGTACAGCATGCCGCCAGGGCTCCGGTCCACGTTGCTGCCGTTGTTCAGGCGCAGGCACGCGCACAGGTAGTGCTCCGCCTTCGCCCTGTACTGCTCCAGCACCAGCCGGTCCTGTTTGCCCAGCGGATCGCCGTCCAGCAGCAGCTGAAAAAAAAAAGGTTACCAGGTCAATGTCGCATAAATCCACGAGTTACCAACACTGGAAAAAACACCTACCAATGCATTACTGTAAAAAAAAGAAGGGCATTGTTGCTGAAATAATCAAATTGACAAAATCATTCCGTGATACTAGTACTGATGAGTTATGCAAATGGATTGAACGAAATGCAGATTCCCGAAGAAATTGGGAACCAGCTCGATGGATCGATGCAAGCTGTAACTATCGAATCTGTCTTTAATTCGGCGCAGTGCTGCTGTCGGTGGCTGCGAGCGAGCGAGGCTAGGCGGGCCACATGGTGTACTACTCGCCCGGCCGGCGTCGCTTTCCCTCTGACTCCAGGCAAGTATATTTTCCACTCTCACTGACCAACTAATGGACTCCAGAGGAGCGAGCGATGCTGGCGCATGCATACGGGAGCATCGGCCACGTCGTCCTCCGATGTTAACCCTTTCAGCTGAATCGAACGAGTGAGTGAGTGAAAGCCGGCGTCTCGTTTTGCCTCAGCAGGTGTCCGGTGCTGGGCTTCGAAGAAAAAACAAAGGACGGAACATCTTGATTCCGTTTGCCGTTTGTCTGATTTCCGTTTCAGAAATTTTGGGCCCGAAGAATATTCCATTGCCTCCACAAAAGGTTAATACTGCACAAACTTGCAAACGACAGCAATAGCTACGCACAGAGCGCATTTACCTCATGAAATAATGCATCTATGCATGCCTGGCTGTGTACGTAGAAGTCGCTCAAGAAGAGTCACCTCCAGTCCAGCACAGCAAAAGCTGACAGCGCCATGAAGCCAACACTTCATGGTGAAAGTTGAGAGACAGCCCAAAGAACAGGCATCGTCCTTCAGAGAAACAGTCGTAAGGATGTGAGTTGACACGGCGTACTATGATGGACAAAACCTATGCATACCAGCTCAACAACCGCTACGATTGCGATATTAATTTGCTTGGGCCATCGTATAGTACTGCCGTGCCAGGAGCCCCTATGGTTAGTCATAGCTAGCTAGCTAATTGCTTGGAAATGAAGCATGTTCTTTTCTTGACGCCATGTGCGTGCGAAGGTTTCAGCTAGGAGTATATGCAGTAGTTAGTACGAGGACATTTATTTATATAACCGGCGCTCGATCGGAAAGAAGAAGAAAAAGGAGCACGCTATTAATATATTTTTAGCATCTTGTCAGTCATGTCATGTCCAAGAAAACATGTCCACATCTTACAACTAGTTGGCAGACGCCTTCAAAGCAGCTAGCATATTCATTGCTTACTGCTTTTTAAAAATAAAAGGAAAGTCGATCCACGTTATACTCACCTAGATTACTGATTTGGCTCCCTTGACTCCTTCAATTTTGGTTCTCATGTAGTAAGTGACATCACCATAGAATTTTGTTGTTGTTCTTTCCTTCTGTTTTTTTCTTCTTCTTTCACATTTTTTTTTCACGCTTCACCTTTCTTATGGTATTTTTGGCTCTCATCTAGATGAGAATTAGTTAGTTCTCATCCATCGGCATATAATCTTTTATTTTCTTTTTGAATTTTTCTTTACTTTTTTCCTGCTCTTACTTTTTCATTCTCCACCTTTTATTGTATTTTTAAACAAATTATGTAACGATAATGGCACATAGTCGGCGGAGCATGCAACTACATTTGGGCGTGATCGGTGGACATGCAGTTTGCACGTGACCGATGACATGCAATGCAGTTGTGCGCGGGTGTGCAAAATGCAATTGTAATTACCCATGGCGTGGAAAAAGACATAATCGAAACCTAAACGAACATTAAACAAAAAACAAAAGGAAACAAAAAATAAAAATCGCACAAAACTTCACATAAAAATAGATGATGCAGGAGGTATATGAGACTTAGTTAATTCTTACAGTTTTGCTAGAACTCATCTAGATGAGATATAATTTGGTCTCATTCACCTTTTATAGCCATTGGATGTGATGCTATAAGATGCGTGTGTGCTGACGTGGGTTGTATTTGTTCTTGTTTTCAAAGTGAATGAGACCAAATTATATCTCATCTAGATGAGTTCTAGGTACTCCCTAATTCTTATGTACTCCGTTTACTAGCAACACGAACACATATTTATTCAGGCAATATCTTTTTCTTTTCTGGTTCCCCCTAAAATTTTTCCTCCTTCCAAAGAAAGGCGACTCCCAGGCGATGAGGGCTTCCTACCTCCCGTCGATGTCGCCGCCGGTCCACCTCACCTCATGTGGCCTTGGGCCCATGGAGATCTGTTGTACCATGGCCTTGCCGGTGGGAGGGCTTTTGGTCCGTTTTTAGGTGTTTTTTTTTGTCGGTTAGGGTCTGTGTCCAATTCAAGAAGGCAAGGCAGGCGGCGGCTCCCTGTAGATGGAAAAGGTCCTCAGCTCATCCCCCGTCCCAACGGTGCCTCTAGCGTCATCGGAGGGACTCTGGAGGTGTGTGTGTCTGTCGCGGATCTCGTAGGATTCGATTAGTGTTGGTCTTCGGTGGATCTCCGTGGATCCAGTCCTTCGTCGTCTGTGATCGTGTGTCTACATATTAGATCCTACGTGCTGCTCTCGTGCGCTGGTCGTGTGGGCCTTAGCATGATGACTTCTCGACTGTCTACTACGACAAGGTTTGTATGGCTCCAATGAGGGGTGCGACGGGCGGCCCGCCTTTGGATTTCCGGTGAATATAGTCATCCTTAGATGGTCTATGGACCTGGATGTATTTTTATTACTTAAGGTGTTTTCGGTGCTGCCACGGCAGTTGATGTATAGATCAGATTTCTGTCGCCAAAAAAAGAAATATTGTTTTCTCAAGTAACCCCCATAGTTGACCATAAACTCACAATGGTTTTCATCCGACGTGTTTGAGAGGTTGGCGTGCCTCACCTTGTCTTTGCGGACTTGGTGCTACTTAGGGGGGGCCTTCGCGGAGATGATGACACAAAATGGATGGTCGGTTCCAATGCTTGCTTGGTCGACGGAGTCGAAGCTGACTAGTCGCTGACCGGGTGGTCGATTGTTTGGCATAGGCCAGCATGGATCTCAACACCTATTTGTGGCGAGGGCTACGTTGATGGTCGAGTCGTACTCGCTAGCTCGCAGAGGAGTAATGGTGGCATTGGATGCCATGCTCGACGAGGTTGTTCCACTTGACAGCGTGTGCATATTTGTGTGGGTAGCTAGGTGCCTAGGTTGGCCGAGGTGCCCCGACTTTGCGGACATGTTGTCACCGTATTATTATTATTTTGCTATTTTTCAAACAAAAACGTTGATGGAAAACTTCCCATAAAAGGAGATTTTTGTGGTGCAAGCTCGTCCGGTAGAAGAAGAAAGAAAAAGCTACAGTAAGAAAGCTACTGCGCCGTGAAGACCAGGGCTGATGAAGAACTCGCTATGAGACAACGCCGCTTCCATTACCTACTATACCCTCACGACAGTGCGCTCGAGACCAGGCCAGGTCACCCATCCCACTCATCCCTCTGTGGACCAGGACATCCATGTGGAATTCTAGGAGCATGGTGGGGCCGCACGAGGCCACCAAGTGTGAAGTGCACGGCCAGAGACAGAAGAGAGTGAGGTGATTTCTTGCTCCGCATGCAAACGATGCGACGACACCGTCGACGAGTCCTCCAGATGGCTTGCACGGAAAATAGAGCGAAAGGCGATTTCTTGTCTAGTTCTCTCCTCCGTAACGCGTGGCGTGGAGGTCTACGAGGGAGCGAGTGACACCACCAGCGTTTTGCCGGGTTCCCTGCAGAATACATGCAGCGCCATCGGTCGCCCGTGTCTTTTCCCGCGCGTCAGTTTTGGCCTTGACCAAGTTAGTTAGTTAGCTGGCGGTATGCGTGTGGATTAACGGCCCTACCGCAGGTATCGCGAGCGAGAACAAAGCCCCAAATTTCCTGCGTTTTTGGGCGGTTTCTGCAACCGGGGGCGGGAGAAAAAAAATATGTCTGGTCTGGCGCGCACGCTCCTCGCATCATCAGCAGCAAATTAAAAGGTGTACGCATAATCGAATCCAGCAGAGCAGATAGATGGCCAGCCAGAGGATATAGCGCCGGCCGTATACTGATCTCAGCACGCATCGGGCGCCATGTGCCTGGCCATCGATCGCTTTGCAGCACCGGGATCCTGAGGCGTACGTCCGTACGTCCATGCCAGGCGTCCGATTCCTCGCTGGTGCGGTGTGGCTGTGGCAGGGACAGGGTCAGACTGCCAGGGGACGCCGGATAGCCAGCCTCACCGGCTTGTCGACGCGATCGTAATAATTCGTAATTGAGACGAGATTGATGGTGACAGGGCGAGGATTGACGAGACTCCGATAAAGCACCACTTCCTACTAATCCGAGACAAAGGAGACGGCTAGCTTCCTTCCCTTTTCCTCCGTAAAAACTACGCCTACCACCGAGAAAGGATCAAGTCGTGCCTTGCTAGTTAAGCGTACGTAGAGTAGAGAGGTCGCCGGCTGGTTCAAACCCTACCGGGTCGGGTCAGGGAGCAGTTGTGCGATCAGAGGCTTTTCCTCTGTTTAGCGGCAGCACGGCTCAAGTTTTTCCGGAAAGGAAACCGAATAATCCTAAAGCGGGGCGAGCGCGATGTGGACAGGAAAAGCAAAGCCCCGGCTTAATTAGCAAAACCCCGCGGCTTTCAGGCGGGAAAGTCCCCCAGCGGATCGATCCAGATGCTCGGCCATGTGAGTGAGCGCAGGGCGCCCTCGCTGATCCCCGGCCACCATCATTGCGGGAACCTGATCTACTGACTGGCTCACTCCAAGCTAACAAGTGGACTTGTTAGTCGTTGATGATGAACAGCGACGTGTGTTGGAGCTATGTATCTGTTGATGGATCTCAGTCCACTCATCACCGTCTGATGGGTGGATCGCAGGTGGAGTGTATGAAACAGGTTTGATTTTTTGCATCTGAGCGCGCCTAATGCCTGCTCGAGCTAGGCATGGGACAGAGGTGTGGATCCTACATGGCTTCTTTTGGGGAGCAGGAAAGTGTTTCAGCCATGTGAGACATTAATTCCCCTTTCTTAAGCAAACAACCGTCTAGTGTTTGTCGTCGTGGGAGTGAAAAAAAAGGGTACTGTTACGAATACTCCTACTTGGCAGCGCAGGACTGTTCGTGGCTAGGCGTACTGATTTCAGCGAGGAGGGGAACATGCACGGTCATAGGCTAGCCCTTGGTAGCACGGCTCAACCACCAGCACCAACTTAATTTGATGAAAGCGAATTCTTCTAGTACCAATAGTAAATGATGAATGAACAGGTAGTAAAAAAATTGAGTGTGGACGTACCTTGGAGGCGAGGACCTGGAGGCCGGCATACTTGACGTCCCAGCTGAACTCGGTCATGGCCCAGCCGACGCCGCCGAAGCAGTCGGCCTTGTCGACGGCGTAGCGCAGGAACTCCTCCTTCCCGGTGGCGCGGTGCAGCCAGAAGGCCGCCCACAGCAGCTCGTCCCGGTACCCGCTCACCGACGCGTAGAAGCCCCGCACCTCCGTGATGCTCATGTCGTAGTTGCCCCTGTATCTGTCCCCGAACTCGAACAGCTGCACGCACAGTCGCAGTCAGAATCAGATACAGGTGGCTTGTCCCGCACCGGTGATGTGTTACCACGTAGAGACACGTACCTGTTGTGCGTGGTGGAGGAGGATGTGGGAGTAATGCGGGTTGGAGGCGCGGAAGACGATGGAGGCGGCGGCGAGCGCCGCGGCGGTCTCGGCGACGAGGTCGGAGCCGGGGTTGTCTTTGTCCACGCGGTACGCCTTCCGCGACGTCGTCATGTCCTCCGGCCGCTGCCAGCAGTAGTGGTCCGTGTCGCCGTCCCCCACCTGCGGGTCCCATCCCGTCAGACATCGTCCGCCATCAAGGCCATCATTCGCATCGCAGCAGTAAATTAATGGCGGTCGCCTTGGGCATCCGCTTTTCCCGTGTCGTCTCGAAGCGGTCGCGCGGGCGATCGGACGGACGACGGTCGTGGCGGTAAAAAAAGAAGAACGCTGCTATACACACGATGCCACGCAGACGATTTGTGGACGATGCTAAATTCAAGCCATGTGATGCACAGCAGCAGCACTGTTCTACGGTTGGATTTGACTGTCGGCTACACATCGTGTGTGCAGTTTCGTCTGCACAGCAATTTCGAAAAAAGAAGGAAAATGCGCAACGTGCGTGCGTACCTCGGCCCAGTAGACGAAGGGCTCGGTGTGCGCCTTGATGAAGTAGTCGGTGCCCCACTTGATGGCCTCCAGCGTGTGGTGCCACTCGCCGGCGGCGGCGATTTCGTCGCCGAACTCGATGGCGCCCCAGGAGAGCATGGTGACGGTGAAGGCCATGGGCAGGCCGAACTTGACGTGGTCGCCGGCGTCGTAGTACCCGCCCACCAGGTCCACGCCCTGCTGCAGCCCGTCGGTGATCCCCGAATGCCCCCGCCACCTCACGCGCTGGTTGTACGGCAGCCGCCCGGAGCGCTGCGCCTCGAAGTAGAGCAGGCTCTTGGACAGCGCCTCTCGGTAATCCGGCTCCGCGTCGGCGGTCACCGCGGCGGCATCGCACCCGAGGGACAGCGCCAGGACGGCCGCCTGCAGGAGCACCAGCGCGGCGGCGGTGGCGACGACGGGGCTACCAGCTGCCCGCCGGACGCGGCCCCGGCTCATGGCACGCACGCGCGCGCGCGCCGACGCACGGCAGCAGTCACCACTCACCAGCGCGTCGGTCTCTCGCCTCCCAAAGCCCGCGATCAAGGACCTTGTGTTTAGCCGGAGTGTTTGCTTGCTGCCCCGGTTTCCAGTGGAGACCCTTTCTTTCCTTTCTATCTCTCTTTTATCTCTATCTTTGAAAGTGTCTGACTGTCTGATCCCGTGCTGGGGTGTAAGCAACTGACGCTATTGTGCGCGTGTAAGCACGCAAGCAAGGGAGGCCAGTGTCAAAGTCTTTCCAGGTGCGCGAGAGATGACGGGCGGGTCCCGCGCACGTAGTACGTACCACCGCCGTCTACACGGCGTGGCCGTGGCGTTGGCGTCCCCCCCGCGACACGTACGCGCGCGACCGGTGCACCGATTTACGTGTCCACGGCGGCCCCGCGCGCGGCCAAATGGGTGCCGACTGACGAGACGCTTCGCCGGTGGCCGCGCGCTGCGTTGCGTAGAGCGCTCGGCCTCGGCCTCGGCGGGGGTGGGGGATGGAGATCGGAGGTCAGTGGTTGGACGGACCTGATCACCGCTCCTGCAGCTTGATTGTGGGTGAGCGACATTAATACTGGCTTGCTAAGTGGGGGAGGGGATTATTGCCCGGCCGTGCAGGGGCAGGCAGGCAGGCAGGCATCGAGTGAACACAGGGCGTGCTCCGAGCCCACGCTCCACGCTGGTTACCGGCAGGCCACGCGTACCCAACGCCCACCGGGCTTCATTCAATGGCGCAGCCGGGCTGGGGCGAGTATAAACAAATGTCGGTAGTACGTTGGTAGGGCATGACAGGCAGTGCGGCCTGGCATGGGCGGGGCGGCGCGGCGCGTGCGTACACGTACGTGCTGGACTGCCGCGGCCACGGACAGATCGGATGAGCTGGGCTCTCGACGTGCGTGCGTGCCTGCGGAGGACCGTGGTGACTACGGTATACGCGTATGAAGCTCCGGTAAGAAAAAGAGGAAGTCGTAATAGTGCGCATTGGCTGGCAATGGCATGGCGCGACCGACGGAGCGAGGGTGCTCCGCTCGGGCGCCGACGAGCGGATGCGGACGAGATAATTGCGTATGGAGCAGAAGCCACTATTAATCACGACGTGCACGTGTCGGTATCCACTAGCCATGGCGGGAATCGAACTGGCAAGCAAGCGAGCCAAAGGTGACATCGCGCGGCGTGGACGCGTCAGTCGATGCCGACGGCGCTCTCGCGAACTGCGGGATGTCACTACGTGCCCGCCGATCCGCCGGTCGCCGGTGACCATGCACGTCCCAGTCTCGACCCACTCACGCGACACCTGATTTGGGCGCAATAATCACGGGATCCATGGCACACGCGTGATGGTTTTACGGCCTAATTGACTCGGTTCGCCGGCCGGCCGCCGGCGCCGCTCGTTACGTGTCGTCGGCGCGGAACCTTTGCACGGTCTGGACAGCATTTGGCATGCACGTTCTTGAGGCCGCCTATGTGCCGAGCCCCGCGCTTCCCATTTTTCCCGGGCGCTTTCAAAGCGCGCACTGTGACCAGTCGCGGGCACCCTACGGAATTTTGCCGGGAGATAAATATATTTATGGTCACTCAATTTGAGTCTGAAGCACGCTACGATCACTGTACTTCAGAATACGCTCGTTACGGTCATTATATACGTTCTGCAGTGATTATACAGTCACTGGATCACCGTATAGCACCGTATTTGATCTGTTGACCGGTCAACGTGGCATCTAGTACAGCCGCGGCATTGCATTCTTTTTCTGACTTGTAGGTCCCGCCTGTAAGTGGAGGAAGAAAGAATAAAATATATAATGGGCAAAACGCGAGAACGGGGAATCAAACCTGCGATCACTTGGCGGCAAGTCTCGCGCATCAACCTACTGAGCTAACAACAATGCGCGTTATGTAAGGGAACCACAACTTTGTTATTATAACGAACACATACATTTCGCATTTCTCATGTGCGAGCTCGCCCAGATATGGGCCGACCCATTTCATGTTTTCACGCTTTTCTTCAACCGCCTTTTCTTTTTATATATTTTGTCGTTCGATTTTATTTTTATATTCTTGTTTATCTCATTATTTTTTCAATATTAAAATTCTAAATATTTTTTGAAATTTCAGGAATATCTTTTGACATTTTCTATTATTTTTAAATTCGCGTCCAATACGTGCACATGTATTCCTGTTTGAAAGTTGGAAATATTTTTGTGCAATTCGTGCACAATTTGTGTGCATGTGTTCCTGGTTTTGAATTTTGCTCCTATTTTGGGAACAAAATTTTAGATTCACAAGCAATTTCGAATTCAAGAACTTTTTTTTTGGAAAAATAATTGACAACCGCACGGCACAAATAAAACACAGACAAAAAACACTAACACGCATACACTCACAGAGCTATATAGCATAAACGAAAAAACACAATTTAACAAATAACACAGACACAACACGTCGTACGACTATAATATGCTTGACAGTCGTATGTGCAACACAAGCTAGCGTCGGTCGAGTTGGTTTCTGAGCGATTTCCGTAATCCCGAGGTCTCAGGTTCTATTCCTCTCCAGCACACAAAATTTTCATTTTATTTATTTCTTCTATTTGACTGGCATGTGGGACCCGTATGGCAGAGAGAAAACAACAGTCAACAGATTGCCACATTGACCGGAGTTGACCGGTCAACAGATCAAAATACACAGCTATACGAAAAACCAGTGACCGTATAATCAACGTAAAACGTATATGATGACCGTAACGAGCGTATTCTAAAGTACAGTGACCGTAGTGTGCTTCGGACTCAACTTTAATGACCGTGAGTGTATTTATCTCTTTTGCCGGGTTTAGCGTGACACGTCGGGGGAGGGTGATCATTGCCGATCGGTGCGACGGAGACAGAGCCCATTAACCATCACGTAGTACTCCCTCCTTTTCGGTTTATAGGGTTTATCTCAAAATTTTAGTTTTTCCATTTTATAAGACTTAATTTGATTGTTTTCCATCACATATTCAGATTCCAAGATGCATTAAATCATTGCATGCAACCAACTGCGCCAGATGGTGATAACCACATGTCCGTGATTAGCTAGTTTCAACGACCAACTGCGCGAGATTTCTGTTTCAGAGGCGTGGTTACTTTTGTCCTCTGAGGACAGTGTGGACAATTATCAGGATTCGCTGATAATGTGGACAATCATCAGGATTTCAACCGGCCTGCCAGACAGATGCCGCGTAACGTGTCTATATCCCGGGAAAACTTTCATAACTAAAAATCCACAACCTTCGGTTTATCTTTTTGAACATCCGTACAGACACAAGCGCTTATATACACGCGCATACACTTACCACTATGAACGCACACACGCACACCCTACCCCTATGAGCACCTCCGAAAGACTGAGCCGCATATCATCTTGAAATTTACGAAGTCACCGTAAGCACCTCGTCGTCGACGGGAACGTCTCCTCCCACTGAATGTGCATCGCCGAAAATCCTGAAATAAATTCAAGAATAAATGTGAGCACCAGGATTTGAACCCTGGTGGGCTGAGGATACCACAGTACCTCTAACCATCCAACCACAGGTTGGTTCGCAAGACGTCTGAAAGGGATGAGACTTGCCTGCTCCCCGCCCGTGTGCCCATTGGTGCTCCCGTATACGTGGCATGATTTAATTGAAGCAAAATAAGGCCCAGCCCCACCCCCTTAAAATAGGGGGGAGATGATTAGATTAGAAAGGAAAAAGGAAAAAAAGACACCCGTAGGATGAGGTGGGAGCACGGATGGGAGCATGGGGAGGGAGCAGGCAAGCCGGATCCGTCTGAAAGGTCCCACATTGTTGAAGTATTCGGCAATAAAGCAAGAGTGTTTTTTTTGCGGTAACTGTGAGCGAGAATTCGGTACTTGATAAAAGAATATGCGAAAAGACTCATATTTATCATAAAAGTTTAACAGAACACAAAGCTTTTCAAACACAATAAAAATTACGTTAAGATCTCTAAAACAACAAATAACCATACACTTTTTAATGATTTTTTCTTGGAATTGAAGAACCATCCTGGCTTATAATTAGGCTGGCAATAGTGGGGGTATTATATCCGGTATCATGCATTCGGGAATAACAAACGTGATGATGTGGCAGAGAATTAAAGAAGAGAGTGTTAGAGTAACATAGGTAGATACCGTAACATAAGACTAGCCACAATAGTGAGTAACATACACTAGTAACGTACACATATCCCTATACTATGTTACGCACATCATTAAGGGGGACTTGCTCCCGATGTTCCAGGATCTTTTCTTGAGGTAGTTGCAGTTGTTTCATTGAACTTCGGAACGATTACTTTGGTTACTAAGAAAACTGAGGCCGTGAGGATTGAACAATTTAGGCCAATTTGCCTGCTTAATGTTAGCTTTAAAATCTTCACCAAAGTTGGGACTAATAGACTCATGCAGATTGCGCATTCTGTGGTGCACCCGTCTCAAACTGCTTTCATGCCGGACAGAAACATCCTAGAAGGGGTTGTGGTATTACATGAAATGCTCCATGAAATCCACACGGAAAAACTCGATGGGGTGGTTTTCAAAGGGATTTTGAAAAAGCGTATGACAAGGTTAAATGGCCATTTCTCCAGGTATGAAAGGTTTCGACCAGGTCTGGAGGGACCAGGTAGAATCATTCACGCAAAAAGGGAGTGTGGGAATCAGCCTAAATGATGACATAGGTCATTATTTCCAAACACACAAGGGTCTGAGACAAGGAGATCCGATGTCTCCGATTCTGTTCAACATAGTTGTTGACATGTTGACAATCCTAATAGGCAGGTGTCAGTGTCAAAACCGGAGGATCTCGGGTAGGGGGTCCCGATCTGTGCGTCTCAGGCTGATGGTAATAGGAAGCAAGGGACACAATGTTTACCCAGGTTCGGGCCCTCTCGATGGAGGTAAAACCCTACTTCCTGCTTGATTAATATTGAAGATATGAGTAGTAC